GGAGTAGGAGGACAACACCTAACCAGTATGAGCTGGAGGCTCTTCTGCCTCGTCACCAGGACTCTGAGGTTGCCGTGTAATACGACACGTCCGTCTAGTTGTCGACTGTGTGGAGCTGTTCTGTCCTTAGAGTTGGCGACGGGCCCCCGGCAGTCCGGGGCCCATTTCGCGGGCCGAGTCTTTCCAGAGCGGCGGACTCGTCTGCCGGGCCTGGCCCAATGGTTGATGGATGAATGGATGCAGCAGCAATGGCTGCAGTATTTGCATCCCGCCTACGCGCCTTAGGTGGCCACGTACCAGTTGGCGTTGAAGGGAGAGAACTAGGAGGAGAACTACTAACCAATCCGAGCTGGAGGCTCTTCTGCCTCGTCTCCAGGACTCGGAGTTGGCCGTGTACTACGACACGTCCGTCTGCTTGTCGACTGGGTGGAGCTGTTCTGTCCTTAGAGTTGCCGACGGGCCCATTTCGCGGGCCGAAGCTTTCCAGAGCGGTGGACTCGTCTGAATGGAGAATCTAGAGCAGGTGGAGTAGCCTCGTCTTCCGGACGTGCAGAGCTCGTAGGGGGAGGGGAGACCTTACGTCTGCCGGGCCTGGCCTGAATGCTTGATGGATGAATGGATGCAGCAGGAGCAGCAATTTCTGCAGTATTTGCATCCCGCCTACGCGCCTCAGGTGGCTACGTACCAGTTGGCGATGAAGGGACAGGAAGAGAAGGAGAACATCGAGAACCAGTCCGAGCTGGAGCATCTTCTGCCTCGTCACCAGGACTCGAAGGAGGCCGTGCACTACGATCTGTCCGTTTGGTTGTCGACTGGGTTGGGCTCTTCTGTCCTTGGAGCCCCCGACGGGCCCACCGGCGTCCTGTAGCTAGGCGCCAATTTCGCCGATTAAGGATTCCCAGAGGGCCAGACTCGTCTGCATGGAGAGTCTGGAGCTGGTGGACGATCCCATTCTTCCGTACGAGCACAGCTCCTGGGCGGAGAGCAGACCGTCCGTCTGCCGGGCATTTACCGACTGGTTGGTGGATGAATATATGATGGATGAATGGATGCAGCAGCAATGGCTGCAGTATTTCCATCCCGCCTACGCTTCTTAGGTGGCCACGTACCAGTTGGCGTTGAAGGGAGAGGACTGGGAGTAGAACAACTAACCAATCCGAGCTGGAGGCTCCTCTGCTGCGTCACCAGGACTCAGAGAAGACCGTCTGCTACGACCCGTCCGTCTGGTTGTCGTCTGGCCCATTTCGCCGGTCGAGACTTCCCAGAGCGGCAGACTCGTCTGCATGGAGAGTCTGTATCTGGTGGACGATCCCATTCTGCCGTACGAACAGAGCTCCTAGGGGGAGTGGAGACCTTACGTCTTCCGGGCCTGGCCCGAATGGTTGGTGGATGAATATATGATGGATAAATGGAGGATGGATGAATGGATAGAGCAGCAGCTGCAATGGCTGCAGTATTTGCATCCCGCCTACGCGCCTCAGGTGGCCACGTACCAGTTGGCGTTAAAGGGAGAGGAGTAGGAGGACAACACCTAACCAGTATGAGCTGGAGGCTCTTCTGCCTCGTCACCAGGACTCTGAGGTGGCTGTGTACTACGACACGTCCGTCTAGTTGTCGACTGGGTGGAGCTGTTCTGTCCTTAGAGTTGCCGATGGGCCCTCTGGAGCCCGTGAACCATTACTCCGGCCGAGGCTTCCCAGAGCGCGGACTAGTCTGCATGGAGAGTCCAGAGCAGGTGGACGAGCCGAGCTTCCAGGCGGAGAAGAGTCCTTGTGTCTTTCTGCTGGGCCTGGCTTGACTGGTTGGTGGATGAATATATAATGGATGATGGATGATGGATACAGCAGCCGCAGTATTTGCATCCCGCCTACGCGCCTATGGTGGCCACGTACCAGTTGGCGTTGAAGGGAGAGGACAAGGAGGAGAACACCTAATCAGTCCGAGCTGCAGGCTCTTCTGCCTCTTCACCAGGACACGGAGGAGGCCGTGTACTACCACACGTCCGTCTGGTGGTCGACTGGGTGGGGCTCTTCTGTCCTTGGATGCGCCGATGCGCCCACCGGCGTGCTGGAGTTAAGCGCCAATTTCACGGACCGAGGCTTCCCAGAGCGGCAGACTCATCTGCATGGAGAGTCTGTATCTGGTGGACGATCCCATTCTGCCGTACGAACAGAGCTCCTAGGGGGAGGGGAGACCTTACGTCTTCCGGGCCATGCCCGAATGGTTGGTGGATGAATATATGATGGATAAATGGAGGATGGATGAATGGATAGAGCAGCAGCAGCAATGGCTGCAGTATTTGCATCCCGCCTACGCGCCTCAGGTGGCCACGTACCAGTTGGCGTTAAAGGGA